GGGTATTCAAGTTCGCTGAAAACCTGAAAATCTGAGCTCTTATTTTTGGCCCGATCCAAATTTATCCCCACGGATTTTCGATTTGTTTGAAAATGTCACAGTATACTGAACAAAAATAGAGCTTCATTTTTGTAGTTGACAACGTTTTGTGAAAAGTTCATCTAAATGAGATATAGCGGACTAAACTAACCAATGGAACTTCCAGAAATATCAGTGACTTCACAATAGTGGTACTTTTAAGAGACATATCTCGTTTGGATGAATTTATACAAAAAATTTGTTAACTACAAAATGGAAGCTCTATTTTTGTTTAGTATACTCTGAAAATTTGAGACAAATCTAACATTTCTGAATAATATTTTCAAACCTTCAAAGTTGACTTTTTCAACTAGTACCGTACCCCTTTTTGTGGAACCATTAACAATGATCCAGAATTCTGAACCTCTCTATGCCATCAAAGCGGTTCCAATACGAAAAGTCAATTGTTTACTTTCACAATTTGACCTAAAACTTTTGACAAGAGGACGATTACCTTTTTGACATAAAAGGCAATGAAGAAGAAGTGGAACATCAGGAGAAAAGCGTCATTCGGTAACGGAAATTAGGCTAAATCGGTGATTCGTTCCTCCGATTTCGTTTTGGGGGTTTTAGAAAAAGTGTTAAGTACGGTTTTAGTAGACTTTTTTGGTGTTATTTTTATGATTCCGAAAGGACAAGAGTACTAAAAATTTAGATCATTATATGGAGAAGGGATAACGGAACAAAAATCTTCAAAGAAATATGGTTTTCGAAAAATGTAGGAGATGGTTTGGGGGGATTAGAAAGTATCCCAGAGTAACCCTCAAATCGTTCACTTTGAGCCCATATCTCATTTCCTTTGGAAGATATCAAAAAGTGGTCCACTGATAAATTATTCATCATAATAGGACTAATATTTTATCAGTTGAGAAATTTTTGATATCTTTTACAGGAACCGAGAAAATTGGCTCTGAATTGGGGGTTAAGGGGGGTCGTTGCTATTCGAGCGCTTACGGTATAAAGAATCAACTGACTAGGGAAATTTTGAACATAAAATCAAATGAATCTCAGAATCTCAGAATACCTAAATCCATAATTACAGAAACACGGAAATCTTGAGAATGTCAAATAAGTCCTGAAAAAAATGTTCCAAAAACATAACACATTTTTTTTCGAAGTTCAAAATAGAGAAATTCTGGATATCGCAATTTTCAAAATTCAAGAATTAGGATCTATTAAAACATCTCAAGTATTCAAAATATTTAAATCTGAGAATTCAGGAATCCTAGAAAAAAAATTGCATTTTGAATTTTGAATGTTTCGAATTCCTTAAATTCTGAAATTTCTGAAAACGAAAATTCGCAAATTCCCAGTTTCTGACTTTAAATTTCTAGATTTAGAATTTGCGAATTCTCATTTTTCAAAATTCCAGAAACTAAAATGATAACTTTTCAGAATTCTCATAATAAACAAGTTCCGATTTGAGACTTTAGAGAATTTCAAAAATTTCAGGATCTCGAGAATTCAAAAATCTAGGATTCTGAGATTACCAGACATCTCAACTTTAAGGATTCAGATTGAAAATTGGGAATCTTAGAATTTTAGAATCTCCAGAATATGCTAATAGTATACAAATAAAACGTAAAGATATGATGATGTATATAAAAGAAGAAGAGAAACACTGACTGTAGCATTTTGGAAAAGAAGAAAAAGAAGAAGAAGAAGTCAAGAGGATGGACGGAATCGGATCGAACCGGAAAGAAATAGTATAGGATTCGAGAGAGATGCAGAGAAAAAATGGAACTGGCCGGTTATAGTTGACGGGTTGAGGGAAAAAGAGGAGAGAAGTTGGGAAGAATTGTATTAATAGTTTCTATTTTCCCGAAGAAGAGAATTCCTGTTCTGTTCTTCTGATTAGCTTCTTCTTTGTTTTTTTGGGATTCTATAAATGCTATTTAGCCGGATATTCAAGCACATAATTAGATCGGGAAACAATGTGAAAAGTGATTGAAAATTGATACATAACTACGGGAGAGAAACAGAGGGAGGTGCGAAATGACCCTTTTCGACTTTCGGAAATCGAATTCAAAGGGGGATTGCTTCTTGAAGGAGATTGCGGATATGCTAAAAACGATGAAAAGAAAACGAAGAAATGTTGAAGATTTGGAAATGAGAAACAGTAGGAAACTTGGCATAGAAGTTTCTGATCATTGGGGAATTTCCTTACTTTAGAGCATACTTGTAACGGGACGGGCCGGGCCGGGCTTTTTTCGGAATTTCGGAGGCCCGAATTCGATTTCCTCAATTTTCAGACATTCGGAAGTTGAAAATCTTGAAATTACAAAATCTCAAAATCCGAAAATCTCCAAGTTTCATTCGAATTTCAGAATTTCAGAGAGTTTCGGAATCATAAAACTTCAGATATTCAGAATTTTGAATTTTTGGAATTCCTGATTTCGCGGGATTTCAACATCTCAAATTTTTTGGAATCTGGAATTTCCCGAATTTCGGAATATAAAAATTTCAGAATCTCAGAATCACAGAATTCAGAATATCAGAGTTTCAGAATTTCAGACATTCAGAATTTCAGAATTTGAAAGTCTCGAAATTTTAAGAACCTGAGAATTCTATAATTCCAAAATCTCAGAATTTCAGAATCTCAAGAATTCAGATATCCAGAATTTCAGATAATCAGATATTCGATATTTATGAAATCCATAATTTCTGAAGTTGCTGAAGTTGAAAATGCTGAAGTTGAAAATCCCAAAATTTCAGAATGTAAGATTACCAGAATTTCAGAATTTCCGAATTTCACAATCTCAGAATCTAAAAATTTTAGAATTTCAAAACTTCAGAATTCCTAAATTCCAGAATCTCAGAGCCTCAGAATCATAGATTTTCAGAATTTGAAAATCCCAAAATTCGAAAATTTCAAAATCCCAAGATTTCGGAAATTCGGAATTTCGACTTTTGAATTTCGTGTTGTTAGCTTTTTAATCTTAATAATGATAATGACTCAACAGTGAGATTCTAAAAATCATTGGCTTCAAAATGTTCAAAAAGAAAGAAAACCCAAAATCTTGTACATTGATAGAAATATAAAATCAGAATGAACCTATCTCTTCCTCTCCCTCCTTCCCATTTTATTCAAATGTTCACAAGCTCATTTTCCGAATGACATATTGCTATTGTGTCGTCGTTTTTTGCCTCCCATTTTACTATGTGAAACCGGTAATTTAAAACTAAAAAAAGAGAAGAAGAAGTTTTATTCTATAATGACTAATACTATTATTCGTCGAAAAACCCTCTTGTGTCCTTTTTAACAATGTGTTATTTGTAAAGTTAAAACGAAAAAGTAGAAGAGGAATTAATAATTGTTTGGTGGGCTTTTCTAAGAATCAGAGTTCTTTGGGAAGCTGAAAAGTTTCAAATTCTGAAGTAATTGAGAATAGGGAAATATTAAAATCCTTGAATATCAGTGTTTTGGGATTTCAGAATCTCAAAATTTAATAATCTCAAAACCCTATAATTCTAAAGCTTCTGGGATTCTGAGATTTAAAAATTCTGAGATTTTGTGGTTTCGAAATTTTACAATTCCGATGTTTTGAGAATCTCAAATTCTAAAAATTTTGGTAGTTTTGAAGTTCTGAGAATCTGAGGTTTTGGGATTTTGGAGTATTGTAAATTTTTGAAAGAATTTTCAAAAATTTAATAATCTCAACACCCTGCAAAAATCAGAATCCTTCTGAATCTGAGAATCTCGAAGTCAAAAAATTCACTGAACCCGGAAATTTCAGAATGCGAAAATGGTATCTAGGAGTTCGAGAATAATTGTAACTTCTTAATTAGCGCAAGAAGTCTCTATAAAAAAGAAGATTTCACGAATTACAAAATCCACAAAAAAATGTTCGGGCAGTGAATTTGACAATTGGATTATCCTAGCGGTATCCAAAAGAGAGAAGGGGGTGTCAATTGAAATGTGAAAATGCGGTGACGGAATTTATTGTGTCAAGGTCAGATTGAGATCCGAATTCGGGTGGAATTCGGGTGATATACAATTCGTGGATCTCTTATCTTCTTATCTCCTTTTGATGTCTCTCTTTCTCTTTTCAACTTTTATTAGGAGGGAATAAAGTGTGTCGAAATGTAAAAGGGTAGATATGTACAATGTTTACTTGAAGAAAGCGGAAAATACAAAAAAGAAATAAAAATTAATCCTTCTTCTCGAAAGCCATGCAGACACTGTTGATACAGTACCTCTCGCCAGTTTTGTCTTTCGGACCGTCGTTGAACACGTGGCCAAGATGGGCGTCGCACTGGAAAAGTTTGAAATTCGGGGGATGTGCAAATGAGCTCTAATGAGAAAAGTTATGAGCAACGGGAAATTTGAAGCAACTACAGTGACCTAAAATATTTTCATTTCCGGGATTCATTTTCTCTGATTTTCGTCTTATTTTCTGTCATTTTTCGCCAAACAAGTCGGAAAAATTCACTGATAACGCACGAAAATGAAACAAACATATATTTTTAGATTACGGTAGTTTTCGTGGTTTGATCTTCTACCACAGATGTTTTACCGTTTTGCATCGAACTTCGGTGCGAACCATTCCGTGTGATTTATCGACGATTCTCACAATATTCGCATCCTTTCCAACTGACTCTGAAAACGCCGGCCACCCACATCCAGCCCAGAACTTTGCATCCGAACTGAAAACCTTTCAGACATTTATTTTTCCCCTATAGATAATTCTGCTCACTTAAAAAGTTCCGATCCACAACACAAACAAACGTAGCGTCCTTTCTCGAAGTAGTTATCGAAGCCACCGGATCCGGGTGCTTCGGTTCCTGAAATTAAAAATTTTGTGATTTACGAATGAGCCAAAAATATATTATTACCACTCAATCTGGAAACAACATATGCTTCCTTTGGTAGAACCTTCTGCCAGTCACTTTTACTGACGGTTTTCGGATCGGCAGTTCCTTCGAGTTTCGTTATTCCGACGTCTTCCATTCCGAACTTTTTGGTCGACATTGTTCGGAAAATTGAGAGAAATGTACGGCGAAGAATCTGCGGGTAGAAACATTGTTTGTGACGATTTCAGTTAAAATCGGAAAGTAGTAAATATTATATATTGGTGAAATTCGTTATCGAGAATCAAAGCCTGGTATTTTTCTGGTATAAACAAAAATCAGAGCTGTGGCCGTGGCCGAAGGTCCCACAACGAAAACTACAGTAACCTTTTTCATATTTCCGATTTTATTGCCTCGATTTACACTGCGTTTCGTTGAATTTTCTGGAAAAATAATCGAAAAATCGGTGAAAAGCAGTAAAAACAAAAATAAATCCGGAAAAAAATATTTTTAGATTACTGTAGTTTTCGTTGTGGGACCTTCGGCCACAGCTCCGATTTTTTTGTACCAGAATAATACAGAGAATTTTAAAAAAAATCAATTTTAGGTGACGCCAAGGTTGAAGAATATTTTGACCCAGAGAAGAATTCAACTTGTGACACAAATCGATAAACTTGAAAAAAATGTGTTGCCATGACAACAACCAAAAATCGATACGCTCTTTTTAATGATTTTCTTCTCCATCTTCCTCCTTCTTCCAATTCCGTGTTCACCTATTTTCATGACGGAACTAGGTCAGCAGTTCGATGACAAAAGCATAAGTCACACATTATGATGATTCACAAGGCGTTATGTAACCCCCACTACTTCGATTCCTATCTCCGTTTGAAGCAAAACCTTGTGGATAGCCATCTTTTTCAGAGATTTATAGATGAACACTACCGATCTTTATCAAAGAGAGCTAGGAAGCAGTAGGTGGAATTGAATAAAAAAAGATCATGATATAAAAATGACACAGAACAGTTAGAAAAATGACGGCTCCGGCTTAACATCATTCGGATTGACTTCCGTCAATCCTGAATCGGATGGTGGTTGCTCCAATTGTATCGGCTGTTCCACCTCCATCGGCTCATCATGATTATGCTCATAGAAGTGTGCTTGTTGGGAGGCAGATGTGCTCGGTTCGTTGACTTCGGCTGGAATCGTGGCAGCTTGGAAATCGGCGATATCCGAACTGCTGGCAGTTTGTTGATCTTCTTGGAAGTAGAAATTGTAGCCAAGGGTTAGGATACGATCACGGAACACCATTCGCACCTCGACGTCCGCGTTGTTCGCGTTTTCGAAACTGCAAGAAATTATGGTTGATTGTGGCTCAACGAAATTTCAAGAAAAAAACGTACTCCAACTGACAACGGACACTCTCGTGAATATGATACTGAATCATATGAGTGTAGTAGTCCCTGACACGTGGAAACTGAATCATGCATCGCTGACAGAAGTCTCTCTCCAACAAATGCTTCTTTCCTATCAACTTTTTGTTGAAATAACCGTAGTAGTCGAACGATTTAATGACTGCGTGATGATGATCTTGGTCTGGAAATGTAACAAACTTAGGTGTCTTCTAGTAAGGGAAAAACACTTACAGTGCTCGAAAAGCGACGGGAATGTGTAGTGATTGCCCTTTTTGCACACTTTGCAGTACTTTGTAGTCGCTTTTGAGTAATCAAATGGCTTTCGATCGACAATCTCTGGAGTCAAATCCTCCTCGATAACCTCCTGACTCGACGCCTCCTTCTTCTTACTCTCCGCCATAATCGACGTCACCAGATCGATAACTTCTTGGTCATCTTCTGAATTCTGTCTTACTCGTGGCTGTCTTTTTGGTGTACTCTCTGGACGTTTCCTCTTCTTCTTATCATCCACTATAGGCATTCCCTGCATTTCCAACTCTCCCATCTCCATCAGACTCAGCCGCTTCGCCGTTTGATCCTTTTGCTCTCTTTCCTGAGCTGCCAACATTGCTGCCTGTTGTTGCTGTTGTTGTATCGCCCGTTTCGTCGCTTCATTCTTCCTTCTCTCAGCATCTCTTCTATTCTTTTCCAGACGCTTTTCTTCTGCTTTCTTCTGACGTTCTTCTGCTGCTGCTTCTGCTTTTCTTCGTTGATCTTCAGCTGCTTGCTTCTGTTTAACAGCCATCGCCCTTCTCGCTTCGTCCTTTCTTCTTTTCTTCGCTGGCTTCTCATCTTCATAAACGTAGTCCTCATCGTCGTCTTCCGAATTTCTCGCCTTCGATTCTCTTGACAACGGAGATGGGGGAACTGAAATTTTTTTAAATTATGACTAACATTTATAATCGATTACAACATTGTAACTCTTCAATTTTCATTAACTGGCTCTCGATGGTTTTCGACAGAGTGTAAATAACTTCATCTTTTCTATCGTTACTCGAGCGGAGAGCATCCACTGAGTTTTCCAGCTCGGAAATTCTATTTTGTAAAATTTCTAGAATTAGCTCGCTCATTTCCTTATTGCAATTGGAATAAAATTTTTAGGTGGAGAAAGCTTTGCGAATTTCGAAATTCACAATGGTTTTTTAAAGGCGCACACTCAGAAACTTGTCAGTGTTTCTCGCCGCGAATACCTAAGTCTAACAAAAAATAAAGGAATTTTTTAGTAATTTTGCGATATACTCACGAGAACAAGGAACTTCTCGATCGTCTATTCCTTTCGTTTCGCTCCATCTCAATCCTAGCGTGTCCATGGTGTGGTCTGACCACAGTTGATAGGTTTGTGACATTACTTCATGCACTTTCAGCATGTGCACCTGATAATCCATTCGATTTGACATCAATTTACCGCAAAAATAACAGAGATAGTGAGACAGATGGGCGGGATCGGCTCGAACATTTCGATACCTCTTCTGAACTGAATCGTTTGTTTTTCCCATTTTGAATGGGTCGAGCCTGCGAAAAATTATTGTTTTTTGGTGACAATTGGATATTAACACAAAAAAATGTTTGAAATGGAACAGATACCATTTGAAACCTAAATAGTAAACAGACAAACAATGCTTTATAATATTAGGTACTAAAACCTGGAATACAACGTGCAGAACGGGATGGGGGCACAGGAAATGAGGGGAGGGGGGAACAGCGGAAGGGGAATTTCAAAAAATATATGAATAATGGAGATCACGACAAGATGGAAACAGAAAAAGAAAGACAGAGCATTCGCAATAATTAGGCGGAAGATTGAGCACGGAGTTCGTCGCGGACTTGCATCAAAATCCAACCGAAAACATTCTTTCCGTTGGCCACCAATGGCAAGTACTTGAAATTTTCAGCGGTGACTTCTTCTGGGTAGACAAGGTCTTGGTTTACATGGCGGGAGACCCATTCGCTGACGTAGTGGAAGCTGGCACCGGTGGCGAAGAATGTATCACTGAAAACAAAAAAGTTGAAATGAAGTATATTGAAATGAAGTACAATTCCTAGACTAACCCGATATAGGCCTGAATGAGAATCTTGTCTCCAGTCTCCAACAATTTCTCCTTCAACGCCTCATTCTGTGTGAATTTATGAGTGACGACGTGTTTCAACACTCCAATACTGTCCTTCTCTTTCCACTCTTCCACTTTCTTCGATGTAATATTCGCCTCCTTCAATAAAACCTTAGTTGCCTTCTTGACCTCAATGGGGCTCTCAGATGCCTTGAGCTCCGCAGCTTTCTCCTGTCCGACAAGGGTATAGAGTTTGCATGCTTGGTAGAAATGCTCCACAGAGTTGTACTCATTTCCATCGACTGTAATCTTGCAGGGATAAATGGCCGACAGGAAGTTCCGTGGGCCACTGAAGTAGATGACATTGTCAGGAGTAATTGGAAAAGAGCGAGTTTGATATCCGTTGGACGAGCCACGACTTCTTGTCTCTTCAAGAGAAGATTGAATGGCCGTTTTTCCGTAGCTGGCAAGAATATTCCACGGGGTTTCTGATTATTGGCGTTCTTGATGCCTTGCTTGTTGTTGTTGGAGCGCTGTTGACGTTGTTTTGCAAAAGTCTTCTTCTCCACAGAAGTCGGAGCTACTACAGCATCTCCGTTGGAAGCTGAAGATGACTTGGACGGTGTCAACTGGAATGACTACTTTGTTCAAATAAAATCTCACACTAGTCACCCACGATTTGTGTATACTTTGGTCTTCCCTCAGCATTCTTTTCTGGAAGAGCCGAAGCGAGTGATTTGGTCTCGAGAAGTCCGACTGGGTGCTTCTTGGCGGTTTTGTCCATTTTTAAAGGCTGAAAATCTAGTATTTTTATAGAACAACAGAAAAGTCATTGATATATAGAAACGGAGAGAATGAGCCGTTCAAAAAGAGATATAAATAGAGAAGCTCGAAATAAAACAACAAATTTATAAACGATGTAAACAAGGAAGAACAAACGAGATCTAGCCGACTATAGAAATATTCCTAGAAACAACAAAAACTAAATAAAAATCAAATAATTCCACCGAATTTCGCTTCAGGACCCTTTGCATTCGTGTACTGCTCCAAACTGCGCACTTCTTCCCTGCGAATCGACCGAAATTTGTTCTCAAACGCCATCTCGAAATCCACCAGATTTCCGGATTTGCAAAACAGATCAAAATCGGGAGAAATCAGTCTCTTTATATCGTAAACGATGTCGGGCGTTGGAAATGCAAATTCTCTAAAGAATTCGAATAATTTTTGAGGAGAAAAGCGCAGCGACTCACAAAACAATAACAGCGAGACCAATTTGCCAAATGAGGTTAGCTCCGGAAACTTTGACGAAATCAAAAAACGCCTCTTTTCTGTTTTTGAACACTATCCGCTCGCGATTCGGTAGGAATTTCCAGTTTTTGCTGAGTAATCGCCGCGTGAATGTAAACATTCTGGAAGAATCATGATGAAGCGGCCGATTGGCAAAGGAGACGGGCGGGGTATTGATTTTTAAGTGGTTTTCTATATTTTCAATGATAATTGAAAGCAAATTCGAAAGAAAAATGACAGAAAAGGGTAGAAAAATGAGAGAAAACAAGCAAAATCAAGGAAAATTTTTGTGGAAGAAAAACGGAAAAAATGGAGAATTCTAGTCCACGAAAGTTAGTCCCCGCGGAAAATGCGTGGGTTTTCGAATTTAGTTTCAATGATCGTTTGTTAATAGGTTATCGCTTTTTTTCTTGGGATTATTCATAAAATAAAAATTAGGTTTCCTACTATTTTTAAATCTTTTCATGCATCTATAAAAATGTATTTTCTATATTTAGAAAACATGTCCCATCACAAAATTTTCGAAGTATCGGAATTTCTAATTTTCAGAGTCTCTAAATCATTTTTGACTCATTCTCATTGACTGACTCATTTGAGCTTTCTTGAAAAAAATACGAATTGAAAATATCTGTAAAAATTATAAAACACAACGGTCAAGTTGGTGCCAATGGGAAGGTTGAGAATGATAACCCATTGACTCCGGACCGAGTGGCAATGAGAGAGGTGGAGGGGGTTTATATACCAGACACTGTCCAAGCGGCCGACATTTTGCGGCGAAAAAAGAAGGAGAGAAGCAGAGAAAACAAAGAATTGTGAAATTCGCCGTAAACGTCGGCCGCTTGGAAAGTGGCTGGTATATAAACCCCCTTTGGTCGTCTTATTTCTGTCGGTCCGGAACCAGTGGGTTACCTTTGAAACTTTGAAACCCCCACTGGTGCTAACTTGACCGTTGCGTTTTGGAATTTTTGAAGAAAAGGAATTGGATGTCTGTCTGTGTGTCTGTATTTTTTTTTGGTTAGATCAAAAAGTTTCAGTTCTCTTTGTTTTTCAGATTTCTCTCCCGGATTTCTCCACAGCGGCTCAAGATCTGGAAAGCTGAAAAAAGGCTTCAACTATCATGAATGGTCCTTTTTCTAATCATTGGCAACTGTTCTTTGTGTTTTTGCAGTTCAAACCAAAATTACATTAGCACCAATTTTTTCTTTGGTCCCTGAATCTACCATATCCCGGGCGTCCAAAATTGCAAAAAGTTACCAGTCAAGTTGATGCTGATGGGGTGATTTCCTCTTCAATGATAACCCATCAACGACGGACCGGACACCAAATGAACCCATTTTTCAGGGTGTTTATATACTAGCCACTTTCCAATCAGCCGACTTTTTACTGGTGAAATATTTCATAACTTGTTTCTCTGTGTTTCTCGCTCTCTTGTTTTGCAAAAAAATTGGGAAATATTTCAGCAGTGGAATGTCGGTCGCTTGGAAAGTGTTTGGTATATAAACCCCCTCCATTCTCTCATTTCCCATCGGTCCGGAGGGTTAACAATTAAGACCTCCCATTGGCGCTAACTTGACCAATGTTTTTTGAAATTGAAAAGTAAAAATCAAACTTGTTTGACTAGAAGATTTGCTTGGAGATATCGTTAACACTCTAATAGAACGCCCTTTGAGCCCATACATCTAATTTCCTGTGAAAGATATTAAAAAGAGATCAACTGACAAAATGTTAACTATGACATTCAAAGTATTTTGTTAGTAGATCACTTTTTGATATCCTTTACAGGAACCGAGATAATTTAGCTCAAAGTTGAAGTTAGTGGTCGTGGTTACGCTCATTGTTCTCCCAGTGAACAAAATAAAGAAAACAAGAAAGGAAGAAATTTACTCAAGTAAAAGATTGTGTCTTGTTTCCAGTCCAAAGTTTTAGAAATACATTTTGTTTTCAGATAAATTGTCAGCTGTAGTACTATGCACCCACAATGTGTTATGACCGGAAAGTGTTATTTTGAGTGGCTTTCAACAAAAACATTTTAAGTTCCACAATTTAGAAATGTTGAGTGTTCGGAAGGTGACCAGAAAAACAACCTTTGACAGTTCGTAAAAACATTTTGGCATTTTGCACTTTAACATTTTTACATAAGGTGTTATCGTTATCACTGATGACGACATAAACTGCTTGATTGGTAATGTATGTTTTGCAGTTTGGAATACAGTAGTCTTTGGATTTCAATTTGATATTTCTGGCATAAATTTACTTAGAAAAATGAATTTATTCATTATAAAACAGTTATCTTTGACATTCAATTTGAAATTTACCTTCACTGATTTCTTGCTTCTTACAGTTCTCCGGATTGCAAAATGAGAAGCCGCAGGAAACTGAAAACTTTAATTTTTGAAAATTAAGGTCAACTGATTTAAATACACTTTTTTCAAACAGACGATCATTGAAAAATCTAGTATCCAACCCCCTTTAAAACTCACTTAAATGTTCTGTCAACTGGTTTGGAGGAGAATTTCGACCATCATCGGAAATGCTGATTTTTGGTGGAATCAGATGACAATTCTGCAAAGAAAGGATTCAATTTCTCAACGTTTTCAAATTTTGTGTTTTTTAGCTCTCCTTTGGTTGTTGAAATGATCCCTAGGACATTTGATATATTAAAGTTTCTGGTCAATGATTCAGAGAACAAGGAATCGCGGAAGTAATAGAAGCTCCCCAACTTTTAACTTGAGCCAATTTATCTCGGTGCCTGTAAAAGATATAAAAAAAGTTGTCAACTGATAAAATGTTTATCAAAACATCAAAAGTGTTTTCAGTTGTCACATTTTTGATATCTTGCATAGTAACGGAGATAATTCTATTACAGGTTTCACGGTTACCTCAATTTACTGGAACATTCGGAACCTTCAGAACCTCAAAACTTCAGAATCTCAGATTCTAAGAATTTTGGAATTCAAAATTTTAAATTTTCAAGCCATTATCGTTTTTTTGTAAATTCAATTTCGGAAAATGCTGAGTCCCGTCTTCATTTTTCCATTCATTTAAACCCCCTCCCCCAAAAAAACTTGAATTTAAAGTGTTTGCTGTATATTTCATAACACCTTTGCAGTCCCCATTTTCCAGATCTTTCTCATTTTTTTTTCCGAATCAAAAAGTTTCGAAATAATCAAAAGCCCTTCCGATGACTCACCACGTGGCTACTGACAATCAGAAGAAAGACAAAGAACGGAGTAATCGACGTCATCAGTCGACCAGAAAGTCACACGGTCCTATTCCGATGCTACTGAATTGATTGTATTGAAACGCATGTCTATTTGTTTTTGTGATTTTTTCTGTCGTTCTCTAATTCTCCACAGGTGAGAAGTCAATGAATATGAAGACACACTTAAAGCTGTTTTTCATTTTGGAGACTCTGAAAATTTTTGTAATGTTGAGATCTCCTATTCTAGCAATGTTTGAATTTTCCCCTCGCTTTTATTTTCATGTTCATTGACTAATACCGTATTTCCTAATAGAAGCCCACCTATACCGTCCACTTTGAGCTCAATTATCTCGTTTCCTGTGAAAGGTATCAAAAATTTGTCAACTGATAAAATGTAGCTGATAATATGAGAAATATTTTATCAATTGACTATTTTTTGATATCTCTCAAAGAAGTCGAGATAATTAAGCTCACTCTTGACGGTTTGAGTGAGTTTCTATTAGAGGAAATGCTCCTAGGAAATACAGTATATTCTTCTATTTCTAATCATAGTCTTATTAAAAAAAAACAAAAAATAAGTGCTTCATTATCTTTTTTTCCCCTTTGACCGGTCATATATTCAACTTTGCATCTTCATTTTGTGTCTTACATATTTTGCGTCTATAAAGTGTCAACTAGAAAAAATTGCAGCCAATTTTTATAGTATACTATATTTTGTCTCGTGACCAATTTTGCTCTATTTTTCATTTTTAGTTGAACAAATTGGCTCTTTTTTCTAGAAAGTTCTGCTCATATTTAATTTCAAGAATTGAAAAAAAACTAAATTTTATTTTCTTCTTTTGTTTGAAATGAATTCGTTCTTTATGATAATTTTCTAATTTTCTACAGGAAAAAAATCTAAATATTCATCAAAATTGAAAAATTTCTCATCGAAAATTTCTGATTTCGTCTTTTTTCATTTTCGAAGCAGGAAATAACTGCAAAATTGAAAAAATAACAATATTTTATTATGTAAACATACTACAGAATACAATAGGAGAACAGGAGAATCAAAAACATGAACAAAATAACCAAAATAAAATGAAATTTTGGAGGAATAAGGCAAGGAAAAATAATTTCCCATCGATTTTTTCAGTTCTATAGACCTTTACCAATTTTTTTTGAACTTTCTCATTATGGACTAGATGAATTTCTGTAAAGCTTCCATCAGTTTTTAATAGGGATTACCTGCAGAAAAGCGGGTTTATATTCTCGAAATTGTTTCGAAAAAAATTCGATCAAAGGGTTTTATCGCACATTTTTTCACTGTCCGTTTTGTTCTGAACACTTTTTGAAACAAAATTCGAATAAAAATTCGTGCAAAATTGCTTGAAAGCTGCAGTATTTTGGGATTTTCAACACTCATTTAAAAAATTTTATAGAAAATTTAATTTTTATTTTCTATTTTGTTGGAATTTGGTTTTTATCCTCTCCCAGAATAACTTTTTTATCCTAAAAATTTCAATAAGCTCCTTGATTTTGTACAATACAAATTTTCAAAAAAAAATTTTTCTATTCATATAAAATCTTCTGATCATCTATTGTATTTTTTCAATTCTAGAAAATCTTTAGTGGAAAATGACCAACTTTGGATAATTTTTAAAAATAAGGCTAACAACTTCAGAGTTTGCTAAACAAAAATAAAGCTTTATTTTTGTAGCTAACAACTTTTTTGTAAAAATTCACCCAAAGGAGATATACCGCCTAAGACCAAATAAGTGTCAAAAATTCAAGAGATAACTGAGATCAGAGTCAATCGGTCCTTTAGATGAATTTGTAAAAAAAGTGGTCAACAATAAAAAATTGAAGCTCCATTTTTGCTTAGTGTATTCTGGAATTTTCAGAAAAATCGAAAAATTCTGGATTACCTTTTCAGGACT